GTTGGATGATCAAAAAAAAAAGAAATTCTGTGTACTCGAGAGTCACTGGTGGTAAGGAGGTCATAGATATACATAAAAGTACCACTTTAGCAGATATGAAGGAGAAATTTCTAGAAATTTATTTTCCAAATGGTGAAAATAAGATACAGGGTCTTCAATTGAAGGACTACAACTATTATATTGGAAACTATGCTGGAGCTCCAATTCAGGACACATAAGTAATGGAGACCCCTTCACCTTGGAAGGTTATTACAATGAAATAAGAACTTACCCCATCAGATTGTACCTATTTACATCTGCAATCATATCACCAGGGGCGGATGAAGATTCTGTCATTATTAAAAAACAGTAAGTTAATTAATATATCTACCGGTATTTATGATTATCATTAAAATTGATAAATTTATCCATATAAAAATTCTTATGGTCAATTTCCTTATGATGATATCATGCAAGTTTTTTTTATTTTCTATACTTTTAAATTATTTCTTATTCAGGAAGAACCACAGAAATCAAATTAGCAAATGAAAAAGTTCTGCAGGTAATTTTTATTTGTCTAGCCAATTGAAATGCAAAATTACTTTCAAGCATTTCAGTTAATGTTTGGTGCAGTTATTTCCCTTTTCTATGTCTGCCTGATTTCAGTCCCATGTTTGCAGGAATTTATTTTCCTATAGGCCAGCATTTTTTTTTTTTTTTTTTTAGGTTTACCGTTGAAATTTTTGAATTAATTTTCAGAAAAAAAAATGGAGAAAAATGGAATTAAGCGAGTAAATAGGTAAAGGTAGATCTGCATAGTCCATAGCAGCATCATAGCTTGGTTTAGTGTAAAATTTATCAATAGGAGTGCCATTCAAAATGTTTCACCCGTTCAGAGGACAAATAAAATGCTGACAACTTTGTTGCACAATGACATGTTGGTGAGATAATTATGTATATGTATTCAAAAGTATCTGCATGTAAGTTAATTTTCTCCCACAGGTTAAAAACTGCCCAAGTTAGCTATAGCCAGAGACATTGTTTAGGTCTCTGCTGTAGGTTACAGTCTAAGCAACATTCTTCAGAATAGGATCACTTATGCATCAGATGTAATGAATAAAACTATGGGAGAAGTGAAGTTGATCATTTGAGGGTGAAATAAGATATAGCCAAAAGAAATGAAGTATTTCAACTATTAAAGAAAACAAGTATATACAAATATATACATGCATGTAGTATCGTCTTTGAATGTGGCAACCAGAAAAAATATTTTACTCTTAATTGAAAAAATTGTACCCCTCCCCCCCCTTCCCTGTCTGTTATATGATAGGAATATTTACTTAAGGTCACAAGTATATTTTTAGAACAATTTCTATACAATCACTTGACACACATTTTAAAAAAAATGAAGATATCTTGAAAGAGTTAAAAAATTTGTATTTTGACCAACATCTCAAAATTTATATCACTGTCCCCAACTGGCAGACAATGAAATAAACAATTAAAGGTCCTATCTTTCTATTTGTAACCATTGTGTGGCAAGTGGCAAGGAGGCTCTGTTAGAAGAGCATCAAAAAAGAAGCAAAAATGAATGTACAAAAGTAGATAATTTATCCAAAAAAAATGTTTTATTTCCTCCTCCTATGGAACTTTTTCATTCTGGTGTTTGTAAACCTAAAAATAAAAAAAATGCTGGCCAATTATTAGGAAGAGAGTATTGCGATCCTGCAGCAGGAATTTTCTAGTAATTTTAGGCAGGTAGTTTCATATATAGTATAGTAAATTAAGGTTTTCCACCGGATTTTAAAATCCTCTGAGAGTTTTGTTCAAATCCTATCAAGACATACACATAAAGAACATAACACTGTTGTTTTTATATTGGCCTGCTTGGACTGATACCAGTTACAGACAAGATCTAAACAACGGTGTGATGTCAGGTAACATCATCAATTATTTTAATACCATTATAATTAAGATTTCTTTGAAAGAAGAATATATTTTGTTAAAGAAATCTTACACTTGTTTTTCCGGGTTTTCAAAACTCATTCATTTCTATTTTTATCGTGTAAGGCACGCGCAGAGTTGTCAGACTTGGGTGTCGAACTGTCATCATTTAATGTATGTTAAACATAAAGAACGTGGTCTGGATGCATATAGAATTCAAAATTATCAAGAGAGGAACTTATTAAGTTCCTGTACGAAATTGTACGCCTGGTAATAACACGTAAACCAGGCGTCATGCTCTGCAAAAACCAGGCGGATTTTGACTCAATACCATATAAGTAAACCAGGCGTCAAATGAGACGGAAACCAGGCGTAAAAAGAGGCGTAATATGCAAATTTTACGCCTCTTCAATAGACCAGGCGTAAAGGATCGTACCGTCCAGGCGTAAAAATGTCCAGGCGTAAAAAAGTCCAGGCGTACAATACACAATGATATATACAAAATACATTACATGTTTTGAAAACTAAGTATTTATTTTATCAAAACATCCATATCTTAGTATCAATTTATATAACATTCAAAGGCAGTTTTTCTTAACATTTTGATGGACAACAAAATGTCATTCAAATAAACTTTACATTAATAAATCTTCCCATTTAAGGAAAATTCAAAATTTGTATTATACAAAAATTATAAATTATCTTGAAAATACAGTGTACCAATCTCTGATGACTTTGTATTACAGCAGAGATGCTTATAATGAATTCATGGTTATAGTGATTTTCATTTCCTTAAATTTTAGAATATTGCTGTGAACTTAATGGATATAATGAACTACGCCTAATCAAAATTGTTCATTCATTGTACTTCGCAATAAGTGTGTTTTACATTAGCTTATCTTGTATCGTGCACTGAGCTCTTCTTAGCATTCTCATATTTTTCTTTCCCATGTTCCTTTTTAAATTTTTGTCCTGCAATGAGACTTGCTCTGTGATGGCATTGTTCAGTTCTTGGTTCACTTTTTTTCCTTCATTTTCTCCACACCACTAAAGGGCATAACCTGAAGGAAAATTGTAGCCATGCTTTAATGTAGGTCTGAAATCACATGCATTATGTCCAACAAGATCAGTATTTACAATTAGAGAAAAAAAAATTGTTGTATTACATAATGGGTTGACAGGAAAACAAACAGACAGACCAAACACTATATATCCCCAGTCCTTCAATTGGGGGCATGAAAATCTTACCCCTTCAGATATTCCAGGGGGTGAAATATCCTGGTCATTCTCCCTTGGTTTTTCTGAAGAAGGAGGATTTGGACACAGGAAGCCTGCTTCTTGATTATCTGGATGATAGGAATAGAAATATATTACAGCCGTGCATATAGTTAAATATATCAAATATTGAATGTGTATTTTACAAATACTTTATTTAGGTTTTTATTTTTTTTATTATTATCTAACCTCAACACAATCCTCCATGGGATGAAATGCTAATATCTACTACTACTACCAATGAAAGAATGTTGGTAGTAGAGTGTTTTCTCAAGGGAGGAGTTTTGTGACTTGGTATCTTCTTTTCCTTGGGACTTAGCTCCTGTTTCTTCTCTCTTGTATCCTCAGTGTTTTTTTCTTCTTATTTGGGATAAACTCTTCATCATGTTCCTTAATTTCTTCTATTTTGTCTGTTGGAGCCCTTGTTCTCTTCCCATTTGCTTTCTCTGTGTTTAGATTGAGAAATTAAACAGTCTCTCTGGAATATCTTTTGCTTTCTCCTGCAAGTTTCCCAATAATTTGCTGCATGCCGAATAGCAAACTTTGTTAGTTCCTCTTCATCATCTACAAATACACACACATATAACAAAATTATCACCAAGAAATGTGAGCTTTGTGTAGCATATCTGAGCTTGACCCCCCCCCCCCTTTTAAGAAACACAAAACAGACCCCTTGTAAGTCAGTAGGAAGGAACGAATACAAGAACGTTATTAATATATATATATATATATATATATATATATATATATATATTGATTGGGTATGAAAAGTTTCCGATCCACCTATGCATTGTAGCAACCCATTAAACATCACCTTAACCATGTTAACATGGTCAGCTCATCAGAAAGTGCACTCTATTTGTTATCAGGACAGCTTTTGATTAAAATTACTGTAATTATTTTGTCTAGTAAAATTTTTAAGACAGCCACCGCGCCGTGTGGCAAATTTATAATTCATACCATCATACCATGTTGTGATCCATGCGACTTTATATTTCCCTCATCTTGAACCCGACTTTAAAAAAAAAAAAGGTGGAAAATGTCTCGTATATTTTTTGTTTTGTATATATTTTTTCGAAATGATAAATACTAAAAATGATAATTATGCGATAGAAAGATAATTTAAAAAAAAAAAATCATGGAGTATACAACAGCAGTAGTTTACAAATACGACAGGTCTCCAAGCGTAAACAAACACGCATGCTACATGTAATCTAATCATTAACCATGTTAACAGAATGATTTTAAAAGCACATTTCTTAAATTTTTATAGATAATACTATATGGTATATTTCAAAGTGTTAACCTCGCTGGAGTATGAAAATCTAAAAAATTCTTACCATTGATGATGGGGCCATGAATGATGGTATCTCACTTCGGATTCCGTCCTTATTGTCAACGTTTTGTCTTTTTCTCCCACGACAGTCAACTGCAATCCTCATCGAAGTATTTTCACTTTCAAGTAAACAAGTAGAAATCGGCAGGGCAATGTTTCTTTCAAAGCAACAGAATTTGAAATGACCATGCGGGCGGGATTTTGATAGCGTGGGATATCAAGTTTCTGCAGCCCCGGTTCGAAGATGCTCTACTGTTGAGGTTCACGACGGGATCGATACAAAAGCTATTACAAACTTTTCCCCAAAAACGTCTCTCAAAATAATAAAATGCGTTCTTTTAGTATTAATTTGTCGAATTTTTTTTTTAAAATGCAAAATCAATATGTAGATCAATAAATTTCACTGAGATCATTTTGTAAGGCGATTCCCCTTGGCCTCTGAGAAAACACCTTAGTTTACAGTTGTTCTCGGCACATTGGAAAATCATGGAATAACCAAACAAAATAAAGAAGGTTACTTACGGAAAGCGTTTGTAAAATTTAGCAAATTTCAGCTCAAGTTAATTTATAGAACGATGGAGATTTAAAATATGAGATGCATTACAAGGTACAGAATTTGTGATCGAAATGTGTAAATTTGCCGAGACATAAATAACAAGAACAGGAATCATTGATTGCGAGAAAACCGTAGAAGATTCTAGGAAACTGATATCGGTAAGTATTTTACAGTTTTTTTTTTTTTTTTTTTTTTTTTTATTTTTTTTTTTTTTTAAAGATCGACCTACATATATCGGGATCGACAATAAATTTAATAGAATGTTACTTCCGTTTTACAGATTGCAACCCGAATTATCTCGGAACTAAATCGACTCTGAAGTTAGAAGACGAAGGCGCAGAAATAATCATCATGAGCGAGGTAGGTCACCTTAAATAACATTGTTTTGTTTTGTTTGTATCGCTTTACTATTAGATTACAAATTATTTACTTCTTGCAAATTGCAGGGACCCAGATTAGATCCCTGCTACTTGATCAGCTGTTGATAATCATACAGTACATGTAAAGCAAGAGAAAAAAAATACGAATGAGTTCTCATCGATTTTTTTTTTCTCAATACGTTTAAAGAAAATTAATTATTTTTTTGTACATATTGATTAGCTTGTAACAATACAACCTACACACCAATTTCTGGTTTTTAAAAATATATATATTTTAGTCGATTAAATTAATGTTCACTTGCATGCATTTGATTAACTGGGTAATAGTAGTGTTTTATTCTTGAATTAGATGTCTGACCATGAAGAGTCTGTGCTGGACCATTTGATGAGTAACATGACAACATTTAAGAAACAAAGAACCCCAACTGCCAAAAAGATACATAAAATTTAGTGATGAGGATTTTTCTGATAATGAAGAGGAAGTATTCTCTCTTCTGATTTATCTGATGAAGAGGAATACATTTTGGATGATATCACTGAAGAAATTGCAATGTTACGGAGCATGATGATCAAGACTTCCAACTTCTTTCTTTGCTCTGTAACATCCGTATTTCAATAAGAGTATTCATGTTAGTGCTTGCTGTGATTTGCACCAATAATAGATGATGAATCCAACAACTTTTGAACATAATTTCAGATGTGATGCTAGCAGAACACATTTTATATACCATTTGACATATATGCATTTAACAGTTGTCCAAAAAAAACCAAAAAACTAAGGAACCTTTGTGACGGTGCTTACCACTTTCATTGTCATCGTTGTTTAGGGGCCAATAAAATGTTGATTGTGTCATCTGTCTAAAGGAATTTTGTCAAACACCATTCAAGAAACCAAAAACTTCTTTCTGGAAATACCTGTTATAAATCTACTCCACAATCCATTATTTTTCAAGATGGATTTTTTTAAAGCAAAATGCAAGAGTGGTTTAACAGAAATATAGCTGGTGGAACTTATAAGGACATCTGTGATGGGACTGTAATTTCAGCTAGAAATTATCTTAGCTCAACAATGATGTTGGGAAGGACAAACACAAATGCTGAAATATTTATCTTAAAGTTTTCTAATCTATAAAGTATTTCACTGTAAATATTGCCAATGGATTTATTGTTAACAAAAGAAAAGTGAAATATAATGTTTTGCCTACATTGTACCTTTTCTATTTTTTTCTAAGACCAACATTACGCCTCACCAATTTTTCTAAGTCCAACATTACGCCTCACCAATTTTTCTAAGTCCAACATTACGCCTTACCAATTTTACTAAGTTCAGCATTACGCCTGATACAAGAATTACGCCTGGCCCAAGAGGCGGAAAATGACACGTATTCCGTGTGTGCAAAGAGCAGGAATACGTGTCCTGCTCATGTACGCCTGGTAAAGACACGTAATTCTGAATTCCGTCTAGAAACCAGCTGGTTTCCATGTCTCATCCAGCTGGTTTACGCCTCACTTGTTCGTACGGGTAGCCTCATAATGTGTCAAGTTTCTTCTGTAAATTTGTAAGTTTAATTTTCCCTAGATCACTGCATTTAAATTGATAATGAGCAAGTAAAAAAAAAATTACAGAAATGTCATACTTTCTAGCTTGTCCATCCTTTTAACTGCTTCGATCATTTTAACTATCTAATGTGAATCAGTTAAGGCTGATACACTACTCATAGGTTTATTACATACTACAAGGAGTAAGTATTTGTCATAATATTCATGCACTGATCAAGAGGTGTACATGTTCTGGACAACGTTATAAAATATATGTAGTAACAAAGCTTATGAGAAATAAATATTGCAGCCCCCCCCCCCCCCCCCCCCCCCCCCCCCCCCGGGAAATCCTCCAAACCATTAGTTAGACTACAAGTAGACTTCAATGTTTAAATTAAAGTTTATGTAGGATGTATGCAGAAGAACGCCCTTTATATAGTTACAAACTGCCCCATCCATTTGCCTCATTTTGCATTGTTTTGACCTTTTATTTATTATTTCATTGAATATGTGATGAAAAGTAAAAAAATATTTCAGGATGAGAGTGATGATGAATTTGAAAGTCTGCCTAAACTAGTTTTGAGAAAATCAAAGAGAAGGAAAGAAGATAAAAAGGTATGTTTTAATTACTAATCAGTTGACATTGTGATAAAGCATTACAGTAAACATTATTATTTTGAAAGGGTGTCGTTGTCTTTGGCATTTCGATATATATATTCTAATTTCCTGGAAAAGAAAAGCTTTTGTGAAAAATTTAGGCATGTCTGAGGTCACAGGTTAAGCTAAAAAATTTTCAATTTCTTTTGTAATGTATATAAACAAGACTCATACATATACATGTGTGAGTGTGTGTGTGTGTATTATATATATATATATATATGTATATATATACAGGATTTTTATAGAACAATTTAAGTTTTATTTTGTAAATGCAAGGGAAGGAGAAGAAAATAATTTATGAAATATATATGATTTTTTTTAGCACATATCTTGCATCTTTTATCATATGTCTTAATACTTTTAATTTCGCACCTCTCTTATATGATATCAAAAACAGTGTTTTATACTTTTGATGAAATTGATTCATTTGAGCATTTAAAACTGCATGGATTTCCAATTGAACAGAGCTCTTTGTATCAAATCTTACAGGTGAAGGATTCGGAGCCCAAAACTGCAACCATAGCTGAAATACCTTCAAACCCAGAAACAAGTCCAACAGTAATTTGATTTTGTCAACTTAATTATATTTATTTGATTTTTAGCTCACTTGAGCTGAAAGGTCAAGTAAGCTTTTCTGATCACTTTTTGTCTGACTGGGTCAATTTTAACCAAGGTTGGCACAAAGCCTCCATTGTTGAAAGGGATTCAAGTTTGTTAAAATGAAGAGTCATGCCCTCTTTCAAGGGGAGATAATTTAGAATTATTGAAAAATTGTTGACATTTTTTAAGAATCTTTTTCTCAAAAACCGATTGGCCACAAAAGCTGTAACTAGTTTTGAAACATCCTCAGGTAGTATAGATTCAAGTTTGTTCAACCATGATACCCAGGGGTAGGGTGGGGCCACAATGGGGAAGTTGGTTCAAATTTTTACATAGGAATATATAGATTAAAATCTTCTTCTAAAACCATTCGCCTTGAAAAGCTGTAACTTCAGTGAAAGCATCTTTAAATAGTTTTTCAAAATCATGATCTTTGGGGGTAAGGTTGGGCCACATTATGGGGATGGGGGGGGGGGGGGTCCATGCTATTTTATTATTGTACATAGGAAAAAATTTGAAATCATTCTCAAAAACTCTAATATAATATATGGTATTATTTATGTGCAAGCATCTTGACATATTGTTGATACTACATTGTCCAGATATTTTGTATATGACTCCATAAAGCTGATTTTGTTATGAGTATTATTGCTCAGGTGAGTGATGTGGACCATGGGCTTCTTTTGTATGCTCTCGTGTATGGATCATGCAGTTAAGGAGTTGGGGTCAAGAAGTTAAAAGATATCTAATTGGTATATTGTGCTGTTAAAGCATCAAAGAATTGTTTGTTTCCTCTTGAGTTTGAAAAACTGAACTTGAAGGTTAAGTTCATGTACAATTCAATCTTTCATTAAAAAAGGAAAATGATATGTCCTGAATGTAACACTTAATAGAAAATTGAAAGATTTATTTATATTCATTATGTTGATTGCATGAGTGCTGTATATAATACTTCAAAACTTATTTTATTAGCAATGTTGAGATGTCATGCAGATGACACAAAATACATGTTTATATGTACAGTATGTTACAAAGAAGTATCAACAAATCATGCAGAGTCATTATAATTTAAGTCTGCATGATCATTCTTTCTAGCTAACATGTTAATTATAATTGTTACTCATAAACTTGAGTTATATTGATTTGGGTTTTGATTTTACAGGTTGAAGAATTGGAATCTGATGTCTCAGAATCAAGAGCACCAACAGTAAACAACATTAATTAATAGAATTAATTTACTGAAGCAACATAAACATGCGAAAAATCCAGCTATACTCTGTCCCAAGTTTCTGCTTCCACCACTTTTTGCTTTATATTTTGATAATAATTAATACATTTGTGCCTAAACTTCGTTCATCCACTGGAATGAAAAAAGTCCAGATTTTCTGTTTTGAAATGCCCCTTTGTATCATTACTCTTTAGGTTTAAATTCACAACCAAAAATAAGAAGACTATGGGGATTTTACATTGCAAATGACATGAAAAGTACCCGGATGGTAACGTTGAAAAATTGTGTGAGCCAGGTGTCCCGAGTACTTCCGAATGAAGAAAAGATGTCAACATTTCCCATTGTAAATCTCCATAGAAATTTGTTTTTGTTCATGTTAATTTCTCCAGGTAAAAATAGATGAAGTGACAGTGATGAAATCTTGGAATTTTCCCCTTATATTGATTTCAATTGTACTTCTTTAGCAGGTATGTGTGTTTTTGTTAAAGTTCGTCAAAAAGTGATGGAAACGGTAACCTGGGACATTTACATTTTATCAAATGATTCATCTATTATAATAAGTAAAATTTCCTGAAGTGAATTAAGGTTAAAACAAATGTTGTAGCTTATCAATGTTGGATCACATTTAATATTTGCACCAGCTGTCATATGAATAAATATTGGACAATCTACTGGTAGAATTCATAAGTCAATATATCATAATATTTTATGTGTCAAATTTTACAGACAGAAAAACAGGAGACCAAAAGCTCTGCTGATTCAGGAATACACATTCCATCTGATTCAGGAACCCCAACGGTAATTTGATTAAATGAAATTTATTTTTAAAAACTAGGAATTAGCATTTTAGAAAAAAACAAAAATGATATTTTCTATAATAACAAAATCTATTTTCTTAGATTGTTTTCAACAAAAATGGTGATAGTGTTTCAAGACCCCTGAGTATCAGGTAAGTTGATCTGTCATCTTGAGGTAGCTTGCGGGTTTGCTGACATAGGAGAAAAACGTATCTAACTGCGCTCATGTATAACTTTTTATAAGATGCAAAAGTCAAGTTGCATGACCTTCCCCATTATAAATTTTCTGAATCAGATGTTGTTTATACCTAATTGATGTGAAAACTCTGAACCTTTTATAATGCTACTCGTCTACCTGATCGCACATACATGTACATTTTGATATGCATGTTTGACATGACTGTATTTGCCTTTGTTGCACATTAATGTGATTATATATCATTAATTTTCCTAGTTGTAATTTCAACGGATGTTAATTTTCAAAGTTAAGTTTTCACGATTCTTTTGAAATTTTGGCAATAACAATGTCACATGGTATGTAAGCGAGTCTTGTCCAGTCTGCTTAATTTCTTCATATACATACATGTAATTATCCTGTATTGTACTAGGGCCCGCCCATTTTATTCATTTTTATTAATTAAAAAGACGGGGTC